GCTGAATGCTCTAACTTTTAGATAGGCTGTGGCAATGCTATACCTTTTTCTCTTCCCAATTTTGACCAGAAAAAGCACCTCAGACCTGTAAAACCTTCCTGATGAAATTTTAATCAAAGCCAAAACCAGTGAAATGTTTTAGTTTCACTGAAAAGTTCCCAGCCGTCTCCATTCACAATGATGTCTTGCTGGAACGGCTCTGGACAGCAAATACAGCAACCATCCTAGTTGAAAGAGTTATTCCTTTAGCCTGACTTGGACAGGCTTAAGTCTTTATTGCAGAAGCTTTTAAACACCATGCCTGCTAAGATCTCTGTGGCTTTATGCCTGTGACTCTGATGAGACAAGTAAGGACTATAGGGATTTGTCCACTGATGCTTAATGCCTGAGAAGGGCTTGAGGACATAGCCCTACAACAACAAGAACCCAAGGTAACGCTGGGAAAGGGGCAGACATTGCGTCCCCGCTATGATGCATTCTCCTGGAACAAGTCACTCAGCATACTGGAATGAACAATGAAACATGCCATTTAGAAGCACCTAGAGGATAATAACACAGTAAAGGAAAAAATAAGCAATGTACTTTTGGCAAGTGCATGTGATGTCACCCCCAGCCTCATTCCGTTTTTTTGTAGGGTATCTGGCATAGCAGATAATGCAGGAGCAGTATGTGTGATAATGTGATATATCTTGACTTCAGAAGGCCCAACAGTCTCTTGAACAAGCTAAGAGAATATGGCGGATGCTAAATCACAGGATGCTTCAAAGAGCTGCAATCAACAGATCGCTGTCCACCAGAGATGGAGGTTTTAGTGGGTTGCTACCACAGTCCGCTTTTGTGCCCTGATCTCTTCAATACTTTAATTAACACCTTCATGATGGAATAGAAAGAAGGCACCTGACTTTTGTCGATGACCCCAAGTTGGGGGCAGTTGCAAGTGTTTTGGAGAGCACGATCGTAAGTAAACTGAAGAAGTGGTCTCCATGGAGAAACCAACCAGATGGCATCCAACAACAGTGAGCACAAAGCGCTACGCTCAGGAAGGGGGGCAATACAATTAATGCTCAAATACAGAAGTGTGGAATGAGCTGCAGACTATGCTGCAGACCAGTAATAGGGTTAGAAAGCAGCAGAGATACTGAATAAGCGAAAGCAATGAGGCACTCATAAAAAAAAAGTAAAACTCATCTTGTTCTGGGGTTAGGTAAGTGAAGCATGAGACGCAAAACACAGCTGGTACTTTTATCTGCACAACTGAGTCCTAAACTGGAATTCTTGCTTTGGTTTTGGACAGGACACTTAAGGAGACATGTAGACAAATCAGACAGTAGTGAAACACATATGACATAAGGGTTGGAAAATATGATCTGTGAGAAGTAGTGAGCCTGTTAAGCTGGCCTAGAGAGGTCTGAGACACAGGGATTAATGAGCTTCTAGCAGATAAAAAGATAGTTTTGAGGAAGAGGAGGAGAAATTACCACCATGTATCTTGGAAGGACCAGAAACAACTGGCAGCAAAATCAATTTGGATCATATGTTAATAAAAGCTTTCCACGTGCAAGGAGAGTGAAATAATGGCCATGCACTGGCTATGCAGGCACAGGGTGTCTTAAAAAAAATACATGTTAGGGGCAGCCACTGTATAGCTGATCTTGTCTCACTGCAAGGGGAAGGACCAGACCACCTCGTGTGGGTTCTTCCAGCTCTTTGCTCCTCTGATCAGATACCAACAGAAATATCTGGGGTAGTAAACAGGAATATTCGCTAGTAGCCAGCTGAGGCAGCACAAAATACTTTGAGTGAGGTGGTGGTTCAGAGCAGTCTCTTCATGAGTTCAACCCAGTGCAGAGAGCACAGTACCAGCATCTGGTAGCAACTGAGCTGGGCAGAGACAGCTGTCTGCAGTCCAACCCACCCTGCAAGCAGTGCTGCCCACCTGGGTCACAAAGACAGAAGAGATGGCCACAGTTATACTAATGAATCTTTTGGCAGTGAATGCCTACTTCTACCAGCAGAGTTGGCTTGAAGTTTGAGAAGGAAGACAGACTTATGAAGAGGACTTTTTCTGCTTTTAGCGGTCTATCAAGTTGTGATTTTTTGTTTTAAGTGTCATTTCATTACCCCCCTATACCTCTGCAATATGCCCCAGCTGAAAGCGATCCTATCAGTGGGCATACACACTTAAGAGAGGAAAGGAGCAGACCGCGTAGGCTGTCTATGCAGAGACTGGTGCTAGGTGACAAGGCAGAATTGGCTCGTCTGTTGGAAATACTAAAGGACATGGGCACACACATTAGAGAGGTGATGACCCTCTTTTGGTGATATACTCCTACAGCTCTGGCCAGCAGAGCTCACCCCAGGGAAAGCTGATTTTCTCAAAGGAGAAAATTCTAGTTGCTCCTAGAATGCAACTTCATTAGCCTGCGGTGATCTAAACGCAGGGAATCCTTAGGATACACCAAAGCCCATCTATTTCAGCTGGCACTGTGGACATGGAAGCCTTCTAGTTATAAGGGCTCTGGCACAACTCCAGTACCTGCCTACCTTTTTGTTGGCCTCTGAGATAGCTATCCCATTTGTTTCTAGGGGAAATAGGGCCTGGGTTTTCACAGTGGCTATACAGATGAGTGTGCGCAAAGCTAGCGAGGAGTCTTTGACCCTGGCTTGTTTTGGTTTCCCTGCACATGTTCGAAGGGAATCACTGACCATCATTCCAGAAATCCTCCTACCAGATTACCACGCAGATCGGTTGACCACCCTGTTATTTAATTTTTCAGGAGCTGTATTTTCTTCTATTTATTTATTTTTACATTTGGGATGCCCAGAGCTTCACATAGCCGATGTTTTTAAATTTATGAACACAAAACCAAGAGAAGTAAAGAAACTACATTAAATAAATAAAACTAAAAAGCTTCGCATGACTCAATATCCAAACTCCTTTCGTTTGTACTAGGAGCAGAATATTTTTCAGGCAGACAACCTGCAAATCTGAGAATAATAAAAATCAATATGAGAAAAAGATACCCAGAGAGGAAAGGGATTATTTTCTAACATATACTATTTTCTAATGAATTAGTTTTATTAGCTAAGATTATTTAAAATGAATTATTTATTAGTTTTAAACTAATAAAAACATGGCTTAAAATGGTGAGGCTTACTCTTCCAAATTGTAAACGATTTTGTATTTCTATTTTGCTTGGTTTTTTTTTAAACAGATGAAATTTAGAAAAATCAAAGCTATGAGTTTCACCTAATTACAGGATTACAGGACCCGGGGCTTTAAAACTAAGCACAATATCGCAATGGGTCTTTTCCTAAATCTATGGCAGGCGTTAAACAAAGATTATCCACAGATACCTTGTTTACAGGCATCCAGAGTTTAGGTGTGCCAAAACCTGAATTTTCTCATCCTCAGAAAGGTGGCAGTAGCTCAGAGCTGGACACCCACACATTTAGGTGAAAGCTAAGCTAGATAACTCAATTTCGCTGCTTAGGCCCGTATCTAATAGGCACAAATAAAATTAATAATACATGCGCGTGGTTCTAAAATTCATTTATACCTATATTTTTCTTGACAGGTAAATGGAAGTTGTATGCTGTGAGATTTTACCAGCAATAAACCACCTACAGCCGGTTAGCTATGCACTGCTATAGCGAGCAGCGAGGCAGGGTACACCTCCAGGGCTGGCGAGTGCATTTCATGGCAGGCGCGCTCCAGCAAACACTCAGCCCAGCCGGGAGAGCTGCTCTGCCTGCTGGTGCCTGCCGCTCCTCACGCTGCTAGGGGAGGATTTTGCGCAAGAAGACAAACCAGGAGTCTTTTGTCTCACTACACTTGCATGTAAGGCATCACCTCTCTGACCATACATCCGGACTTCACCTTGCAGATAAATACTCGTTATGCTAGTTAGCCCCCAGCTTGCCAAGTAATACCAGCAAGAGGAAAACTCCCTTCATGCACGCATTTATATCTAGAGCGTTTCAAACACTTGCTGGGGGAAATAAAATCCACAGCCTTTTGGGTTACTAGACAAATCAGGAGAAATAACAAACTCCTTCCTGAATGATAATGTAGAAGCTGAACACATCTGTAATACGTATTGAACACATTCATACATACCTATCTATCTAAGCTGCTCTATAAATATTTTAGATAAATAGGCAGATAGACAGAATGGTGTGAAGATTAAAAGCAAAACAAACCAAAACTGAGTAAACTGGCTCATTTGGTATTCTGGTCTGGACAGGATGGAACAAGTAAACCCTATAATGCCCTTACCAGTAATTGGTGAACTCCTTAATGTGTTTGCTGTCTGTTATACCATAAATGCAGGCAGATAGATAGGACAATACTAGTTCAGATCGCCAAGTTTCCAGTTCCCTATAACACACACAGGAGGAGGGTAGCTAAAAAAAGGAGAGGGCAGCATAAGGTTCACAGCAGCTACCTCAGGTACCAGGTTTCACACATGCCTAACGACCACACACCCTGCAAACCAATGACCCGGCACAGAAAAATGCCCAGGAAAATTAATTTCCCAGCCTTGCAAAGAGTTGACAATGGAAGGCCAAAAAACACAGCACAGTAGCTTGTTGACACAAGAAAAAAGAAAGGAAATCTGAGGAGGGAGGAGACGAAGAAACCAGAGGGCTGTCTGGGAAGAGATGAGGCAAGCACGATGTTCTGACAAGTGTCATTATAAACAAATGCTTTCCCCTCAGCGCCAGAACAACCAGAGCCAGAAGCCAGGTTTGCATTATACTAGAATATGTCTTGGCATCATTGATGTCCCCTGCTAAGTCACCACTTTTGAAAGGACAGACTGACAGCAGAGTAAAGCCATGCTGCGCTGCAGTGGAAGGGGACAGTCCTCTTGGATCCTGTTGTAAACTAAAGCGATACACAGGCTACTGACCCTGGGGTTTCTCTAAGAAAGACACAGATCCCTCCACCTGCTGCGTCTTTCGCTCTTTGCTCTCTTCTCAGGCATGTTGCTTACCTTGCACGATCAAGTAAACCTGGGAAGTCTTGGGGTGATGCTGTGTCTGCACTGAACATGTATAAGACCCCTCATCGTAGACATCCACTTTCTGGATCCGCAGGCTGTATTCCAGGGGGTTTCTCTTCTCCAGCTCTACTCGAGGGTCCAGGGACCACTTGTCCTCTCCAGCAAAAATGATGCCAGAACGGTTTAACCAGGCCACCTTGGAGCTTCTGTCTTCTACATAACACCTGCAGAGGATGAGAAAGGTGACGGGGAGATTAATAAACCTCTCCATCATCTCCATTTTGTTCCTTCCCTTTATGACTTTGCTCAGAAACTCCATAGCACACTCCTGCCTTGCCAGTGAACCACAGCATCTCCTCACCATTGCTGCCTCATGGCCATGTATTTCACAATGATTTTTTGAAGAGTTTCAGGAACACTTTGGTTCATGAAACCATGGGATTTGGGGCAGCCATGCCTCCTGTTCTCTTTTCCTTTTGTCTGTGGTCTACGCCTGCACCAAAAGTGACTTTGGAAGGCCATAAGAGATCCTGGTCACCAAATCCCTTCTAACCCTGCTAATAGGAAAGGTCAGAAGGAGTTCTTCCCGTGCTTCTCCCTCACCTTCAAAAGTTAAGTATACAAGAGAGTTACATTCCCAGCCCCCTGCCAGCCTGGAGGGCAAAGGTTCAGGGCTCCAGCTTTGTCAGCTCAGGGCACAGCTGCTCCATCCCTCAGTTTCAGCAGCACAAGGGGAGGGACCTATAGTGTATCTCCCTTCTCTATCCCCTTGACAAAAAATGGCTTTGTGGAAAGAGATTCACTCCTCAAACACCACTCCCCTAACACACACACACACACACACACCCTTGCTGATACACATATGCCCGCTTGTGCAGGCGAGCGCAGATTTCAGGCTGAAATGAAAGACCACGGGGGTGTCACTGCCATCCCTGTGATACACTCAGCATGTCCTATGAACATCCCAGGTGAGACAGGAGCAGAGGAATGACAGCCAGGGGCAGCAGGCAGAGGAGCGGCAGCAGGACCAGCAGCCTCTACATCCCTGATTGCCAACTGCTGCAAGGCAGAGAACAGACTAACCCTATTGCAACTGCATGATGAGCATTTTGCTCCTTGACAGAGAGCGGTGAAGGTGCTGTGAAGACAAATGCATTTTGGCCAAGGCAACTGCTCTGTACCACTTCCCACCTCCAGACAATGGTTTGCACAGAAGAGATGAGGAGGTGCCAACAAGGAGGCACATCCTGCTCGCTCTCAGCTGTATCATCTCATTCGAGAGGTCCAGGGCTGAAGAAGACATGGGAACATAACTCCTCTTTCACCCTGGCAGCCGTAGCCACCAGGGCCAGGCTCAGACAGGCTGAGAGGGTTTGCCCTGCAGCAGCTCACACCATGTTTGCCGTGCAGATAAATAGGGAAGCTCAGTCTCCAGAGCTGTTGCTCCTTCACCTCTGAGAGCTCTGCCCACAGCGTCCCAGCATCCAAATAACCCAGCACCTCTCCCCAACACTATTCATGCATGTGTTGTATTTGAGAGAGCAAAGAGAGAGGATAAAGATTATGGCTTCAAGATAAGACAAATATTTGACAGTAGGCTTTCATACAGCCTCTTAGCATGGGTCAGACATTTTCCAGGTTCCTCTATTTGAATGTATTTCATTCATGCTGTGCTGCAGCTGCCGTCCCTTGTGATGTGACCCTATCATTACGGCCGGCACCTCTCACCCCCTCCCTTTTGGCACGCCCATGGGTGCTCTCTGAGTTGTTCTGGGGTTACTTGTGGGCAGGAGGAAAGTCAGGCTGCGTGGGCATCGATGGGAGGCACACCACACTGCTGGCCAAGCTGGAAGCAGCTCTGTCTGATCTGACAAACATTTGCTTTAGAGAGCAGCCCAACAGACCTCGGCCAGCACCACCCCTGTCCAGCCAAGGGAGGGGAGCGACGGTTCGCCCCTCGGGCCAGAGCCCACCCTCCCAGCCAGCCAGGCACTTGACACGAGGTGAGCTCTCAGCTGTGATCTGCATTTTGTTTTTAAGAAGCTGCTCTTTGTGAAAAAGAGAGGCAGGGGAATCAATGAGCAGCCACTTACATGTAGAAACCAGCACCACGGCGACGTGGCGGTGCCCCAATTCAGTTGGCCACCCGGGGCTGTAATCACCAGTGACAGGAGCTGGAAGCAAGGACCCGGGGAGGGCTCTGTGCCCCAGGACTGGGAGCAGCAGCCCTACGGGGACATCCAGACTGTCTCCAGAGCTGACTGCCTTAGGGTCACCAGCCTTCTTATGCACACATTTCTGCGTAGAGTTGTAACAGCACCAAGAATCAGGGGTTAGGTCTTTTTCAAAGGTGTTTAAAGCCCCTCTCTGCACATTTTGGATTTGTGAAAATCTTGAGGGGGATGGCGGTGAGAAGCTAAGCAGATTAACTGCTGAAGCTGAGGTCAGTGGGAGCTGAAGTTTCTTAGTCACTTCTGAAACCCCACCGGCACACCTATCAGTGCTGCTGGGCACCAACATGCAGCACACTGCACCAGCCCTGCCAGGCTGCTTTCTGGACCTACACCATGGTGCTATGTGAAACAGCACAGCACCCCGCGGCTCCGCCCCGCGCCTGCTCGTTACACGCCTCTGCTTGGAGATAGCAAAGATGCCCCTGTCATGTCCCTCGGGTCAGTAACGGCTCAGCGGTGTGTTCAGAGCAAAGCCTCATCCTCTCGCTCCCAAGGGGATGCTCAGCCGAGGACCCTCCCTCCTCTCTGCCAAAGAGAAAATGTGTGTCATAACCTGTCCTACACCTGCTGAGGTCAGCCCTAGGACAGTGGTCAATAGCTACAGTCAGACATCCTTGCAAGTGCCCCTGAAATAAGTTAGCAGGTGCTACCAAAATAAAGTGAGGAGGAGCAAGAAGAAGGAAAGGAGGAAAGTGGGAAGAGTAAGTGAAATGGATTTGATCTGCTCTGTTCAGCATACCTGTTCCTCTCAAACTGTCAGGGAAAATCAATGTACAAATGTGGAAATTCCAAGTCCTGGCGTGCTCCGAACATACATCCGCATGGATGATGCATCTCAGTATGTCCGTCTGCGCACACGCACCCTCTTACTCTGCCAGAGATGCCACCCAGCTGTATGGATCACGCTTTAATAAGGATTTATGGTGATGATTTTCACAGTGTAATAAGTGCTAATTCAATACTAATAGAATATTAAATGGCACGTTAACTGACATTTTAACTGCAATGCAATAGGAGCATGGCATCAGCAAGATATCAAACGACTCTTATCGTTCACTAATAATCAATAATCAAGTTCACAGAGACAGTCAAACGCTTTTCATTAGGCTTATTGAAAGCATTACCATCAGCGCCAGTGAATGCTAATAAAGGATTTGCAATCCATCCATTTTGCTTTTCCTTACGGTTTCAGGTTTAATTTCTTGACATCTGCTGATGCAGCTAATGAGAAGACCAGCTAGTGGTGATGGTCACGGCTGGCAAAATCACTGCAGGGACTCAGGAGCTATAGATCTTAGCACCAATTCAAACCATAGCCACAGAAGGACAAAAAATTTTTGCTGCCATGTCCCTTTAGCCCCCCTTGCCCTCTCATAAACAAACACAGCAAAGTTTGGCACCTGAGGTCTTTTAGCGACTGCAGCATTTTTAGCTGCTACGGATGTGTTTCCAGTTCTCACACAGTGGCTAACAACTGCGTAACAACCAGCCTGGAGAGGACAGACGGAAACTGGACGTGGAGAAAGGAACCTGGGCCATCCTCATGTGCCTCCCTCAGCCTTGGTTTCCCCACATGCAAAACGCAGACGATGGGGCTGAGCCATGCCGCAGGAGGGAGGGAAGGGGGTGATGCTTTCACTGCAGGAGAATGCTTTGAGACCTTCAGCGGGAGCCATCGCCTCGAACGGGAGGGAGGGCTGCCCACTGCCATTCCTGGCCCCTGGATTTCAGGCCGGGAGGGGACATCAGGCAGCACATAGGCCGGGGGAGAGCAGGAGCCGGGATCGGGCCCTGCTGCTCATCCTCTCTCCTCCCACGCCTGCTGGCCTAATGCACAGTGCTGGGCCAAAGCAGCGCTCCTGCAAACCTGCCTTTGTAGGCTCTGAGGTAAACTCCGTCTGCGTAGGAGAGATGTCTTTTTTTTTCTCTTCTTGAAAGCATTTGGGCTTATTCCTATGGATAAGTGAGAAAGCAAGCTAAGAAAAGGAGAGGGAGGCTCAGGCATCCGCATCTCCTCTCCCAGCAAACACCAAGGCTGAAGGCTTCGCTGCCCGCTCTGTCTCGCTCCCTTCTTGGTGCTTGACTCCCAGCCCCAGTGACTCCTGCTCCTCCTCCCGCCGAGGCACCACCGTGCGGTGCATTAATTTCCCAGCACGTTGCTGTAATGCTCATTGCAGTTGATGTTGTGCCTGTCACTCCAGCGGCTCTCACCCCCAAGCTTTCCGCCCTCCCTTGCCTCAGGCAAACAGACAGACACACTGCTGAGAGGCGGCATTTGGTTGGAAAGCCCTAGCATGAGCTCCTCGGGCTGGAAGTGCCACTGCCAGGGTGGGGGCTGCACAGGGGAAGGAGGAGAAGGATGCATGAGAGCTGGGGGCTCACCAGAGCGCTTCCCATTCTGCCTCAGTGTCCTGGTTTCAGCTGGAATAGAGTTAATTTTCTTCCTAGTAGCTGGTATAGTGCTGTGTTTTAGATTTAGGATGAGAACAATGTTGATAACACTCCAATGTTTTAGTTGTTGCTAAGTAGTGCTTACACTAGTCAAGGACTTTTCAGCTTCCCATGCTTTCCCAGGTGCACAAGAAGCTGGGAGGGAGCGTAGCCAGGACAGCTGACCCAGACTGGCCAAAGGGCTATTCCATACCATATAATGTCATGCCCAGTATATAAACTGGGAGAGTTGGCCGGGGGGCAGTGATCGCTGCTCGGGGATGTGCTGGGATTACTACTCTACTACTACTACTTATTTTATTTTACTTCAATTGTTAAACTGTTCTTATCTCAACCCATGAGTTTTCTCACTTTCACCCTTCCGATTCTCTCCCCCATCCCACCAAGGGGGAGTGAGCGAGCGGCTGTGTGGTGCTTAGTTGATGGCTAGAGTTAAACCATGACACTCAGAAAAAGCAGCTTAGCAGCTACACTCCTGGGCTATGGAGATGGAGTCGGGTATTTTATTGCCTTTGAGGGGTCTCTTCGGTGTAAGTTCA